TAGCCAAATTTCATAATTAGCGTTGCATGGTCTTCGGCGGCTACTGTAGAAGCCAACTTAAGTTTAGGAAAGCCGATTCTAAGCTCTTGAAGATAATGCACCACTTTATTTCTAGCTGGTTTGAATTAGACGTTTTGACATCCAAACGTTTGCATTCAAAGTGTAAATGAATTAGGTTTTAATGACTAGCAAATTTGCAATTTTTGGATTTCGTTCAACGGCCGTTACCCTGGACGCCAAAACGACAGTTCGACCGTCGCTTTCGACGGTGTCCATCCTGAACCCTAGCAAGCTGAAGCGACGCGGTGATTCCCGCGGGATTATGGTGAAAGTAGACTTGCGGGGAATCTACCCCACTCTCCTGTTACTCCCACACCGGATCCGATGTCAAGACAGAGTCGAGAAGACGGGAAGATGAGAGAGTGCAGGCGGCTGGCGCGACCAACACTCAACACACGTACCAACAGCACACCTCGAGGGGTAGGCTCCCGTCTGGGAGCGTCATAAAGGCCACACTAAGAGGGAGCCCTTGAACCTGACTCTCAGTCCGCAGTAAGCCACTGCACACTACAAGACACATTGGGCTGACTGTGGTATACAAGTCAGTTGTCAACCCTCCAAGCCACGGCTTTTAGCGCACCGTGATAGCTTCAAGCGTATCTGATTGTTTATAGTGAGGAAATAAATGCACCGAGGGTCGAACACACTCTCTCCCCCACCACCAGCAACAGGCCACCACTTAGCTGATCAGTCACCTGAGGTGAAGTGGCGTTAAAATAATCGCTGAGTGAAGCTACAGATAGCATCCTGACTAGAAGCGAACTTTGGCTATGGAAAGCCGATTCTATGCGACTGAAGCTAATATACCTTTTTATTTCTAGCCAGCTAGACTTAGACTTTTTTGAAATCCAAATGTTTGCATTCAAAGTGTAAAAGGACTCCTATCTGCGGATGCCGCAGATTATCCTAAGATTACCCCTGATTAAGAATTCTCGACAGAATCCGAAATCAAACTCTTGCTCCAGTGATCGTATTCTCTTCTTCTTCTGAATTAGATATTAATGACCAGCAAATTTGCAGTTTGTGAATTTCATTCAACGGCCTTTACACTGGACGACAACCAACGTACGGTTTACTTTTTTGATGACGCTATCTTCAGTGCTGCATTCGAAACCATGAGACTTAACTTATAAACCAAACGACCACTTGCGCTATAAAGAAGTTCAAAACCCTTTACTGCAGTGGAAACCTCAAGGAAATATCTTTTTTGAAGATTTTGACAAACACCTAGAAGGAAATCTAAATTTGCGGAACAAAAGCTGGAACTCAGAAAA